TTTTTTTTTTTTTTTTTTTTTTTTTATATACTCATATTCGTTCTGTGAAAAAGGGGCGTCTCGGGACAGCCTTCAAATGCTCAGTGAAACTTGATACTAACACTATTGATAAGACCAGTGGTAGCAGATCTACAATTACAGACCCATCTTGGCTGGATCCTTTCCAGCCTTCTCCACCATTTCCCGTTTGTAATCTTGAAACATGGATTCCACCCGCCGAGACTCATTCACTATAAAAAGTAAAGCCATAAACCATATATAACCCAATGCTACCAGTTGCGCTATATCGCTCCACCTGTTTAATTTCTGTAAAGTTTCGACTTCACCTGCGACAGCGGTGGTGTGATCGGTTACCTGAAATCCAAGACTTTGCAGTGTATTGACAGCTGATGGGACATAAGCAGGGGGAAGAATAAACATCATGGATTGATGTTCCTCTCGTGGGTGGGTAACGTATTGTTCTCCAACAATATTGAGTACTCGTCGAGCAATCCATGGGTGACTATTCTGGCGTAATAAATTTGGTGTAAGAAGCAATAATGGCATTGGTGTTTTCAAAGGCTGCTCTCTGGCGATAAATTCACGCCGTGAAAGATTAAGATCCACACAGTCTGGAAATCCCATAGGATGAAAGTAGGCATATCCTGGAAATATACCACGGCGAATGAGAATACGTGCCAAGTACACATAGGTTGGATTAAAGATATCATTACTGACAAACATGCGGTGTTCCTTTGCGTATGGCTGATATACCCAGTCTGTGTAATAGGACTCTTGAGCAAAAGCGGGTGCAGGTACCACAACTATGCGTTGTTTTCGAAAAGGATGTGAGATCTTTAGAATACTTAACACCTCCTTACCACCATCTGTACGGACAATATCCTGCACACGCCACGTCTTTTTGCCAAACAGGGACATTAAAACCTTTTTTTTTTTTTTTGTTACCACTGATAAATAAAATTTTTTTTTATTTTTCAGCTTTCGGAGCGCTACTTTACAAGAAAGAGAATCAAATTCTCTCTTTGCGTAAAGAATAAAAAAAGAGGAAAAAGGAAAGAAAACACCGAAATAAGCAGGATGGTAGAATAAATCGTTTTTACCAATAACATCTCACAGATATCGCAACCCACATAAAATAAACCAAAAAAGAAAAAAAAAAGAAAAACATTACCAAAAATATCAACAATATTAACAATATCAACAAAATCAAGATTAAAATAATTTAAAACAACACGTACTCCAAAATAAGTGGCAAAAGTAAAAAAAAAAAAAA